TTATGAATAAACCCGTTTTAAGTATCCGTGTGCAGGTTTTTGTGTGGTCCTATGTTTTCAACCCCCTTTGGATAAATGCCAAGGAACATAATTACTGGATCCTATGGTAAAAGTATGTTTAGTTTTATAGAAACTGTCCAATTGTGTCATTCTGCATTCCCACCATCAGTGAATGGGAATTCCTGTGCTCCACTTCCTTTTCAGCATTTGACAGTGTCACGGTTCCAGATTAGGTGTGTGCGGGAGTTCACCTACTTTTCACTGAGGAAGGCCAGGAGGACACCAAGAGTGCTTTTTCAGACCCACTGGACCTTGTTTTCACAAATATACCAGGATGAGCTTGTGCCTACGAGTCTATATTCACAGACCTAAGGTAGCCTCTAGCATCTGTGGGTATGTTTTTAATTCTTCCAATGACTTTGAAGCATAGCTAGAATTTGAGAACTACTGATTCAACCAGGAAACCAAATGCTGCTGACAAGTCAATGTTGATGTATCTTACTTGTCCTTTCACCTAGACAGGGGATTCTCTGGCGAGATAAGATGGACATTAAGAGCTGTGATGGAAAGGACAAAATTATAATAACCTCTAGATCTCAGTTCCCAATACAATTTCTGACAAAGTATGGGTTGGGCCATATTCTTGTTTTTCACCCTGAAAGGACCACACGCTGTGCAGATTGGGCCTCCTCATAGCAATGTGACAGGGGTATGTGTGTTTCCTCTATACAGTCCAACTCCCCCGACTGCGGTGGATCCGAGGTTTTCTCAGTGCTGCAGAGGACCACAGCCTCAGAGGGAAACCACGAAGACAAAGCAGTCAAGCCCCAAAGGCAATCCACATGGGCTGAGCTTTTCTTTTGAAAATATAAAATTCTGAGGCAAATAAAGATCTTGATATAGCAGTTCTGGGTTAGAACTTAAATCCAGGCAGGTTTAGAAAACTCTGGTTATAATCAGCTCTCCCCATTTTTATTCCCAATGGATACACTCTAAGCTTGTAGTATTACTCTTTAAAATATCTTCACAACACTACACCTATTCCAATTTCTCAAGTGATTAATACAAATGGGTTCTAATGAATAAGAAAGTTATGTTCCAACTACAGGCCCGGTGCACGAAATTCATACACACTATGTGTATGTGTATGTGTATGTGTATGTGTATGTGTGTATGTGTGTGTGTGTGTGTGTGTGTGTGTGTGTGTGTGTGTGTGTGTGTATGTGTGTGCACCCCTCAGCCCAGCCTGCGCCCTCTCCAATCGGGGACCCCTCAAGGGATGTCCAACTGCCTGTTTAGGCCCGATACCGGTGGGATTGGGCCTAAATAGGCAGTTGGACATCCCTCTCAGAATCCAGGACTGCTGGCTCCCAACCGCTTGCCTGCCTGCCTGCCTGCCTGCCTCTAACCACTTCTGCCTGCCAGCCTGATCACCCCCTAACCACTCCCCTGCCAGCCTGATCGACGCGTAACTGCTCCCCTGCCGGCCCGACTGCCCCTAAATGCCTTCCCCTGCTGGCCTGGTCCCTCCCAACTGCCCTCCCCTGCCGGCCTGGCCGCCCCTAACTGTCCTCCCCTGCAGGCCTGGTCACCCCCAACTGCCCTCCCCTGCAGGCCTGATTGCCCCCAACTGTCCTCCCCTGCCAGCCTGGTCACCCCTAACTGCCCTCCCCTGCAGGCCTGGTCCCTCCCAACTGACCTCCCTGCTGGCCTGATCGCCCACAACTGCCCTCCCCTGCCGGCCATCTTGTGTCCACATGGGGGCAGCAATCTTTGACCATATGGGGGCGGCCATCTTGTGTGTTGGAGTAATAGTCAATTTGCATATTACCTCTTTATTAGATAGGATACTATTTGTTCAAAATTCTGAATGTATATTCCTATAGGATAATATAATGCACTCTAGTTGGCAAAAGCCACTTATGACCTTATATGAATACTAGAGTCTGGATGCACGAAGATTCATGCAAGAATGGGCCTTCCCTCCCCTGGCTGCCGGCACCACCTTTGCTCTAGCCAGAGCCGCCTTTCGGCCTTCCCACGCTGCCCAGAGGCCCAGGGCGGCTAGAGTAGTGCGTAAAGCCTGTGTCGTCACCATGGCGATGACCCAAGCGTCCTGTCCAGCCCCCTGGCGCCTGTGTATGCAAATTAACCTGTCATTTTTGTTGGGTTAATTTGCATGCTCACTCCTGATTGGCTGGTGGGCGATGAGAAGGTACGATCAATTTGCATCTTTTTCTTTTATTAGAGTAGATCTTTATGGAAAAATAGGTCTTGGGTTCTAACTTAGGATGCCAAGAAAGCATTTGCTCCAAGTCCATGTTGTTTCTAGACTCTTGATTTCCATCTCAGTCCTCATTGTCTGCTTAGCTCCACAGTGGGACCCTATTAGCACAGGAAAAACCAAGGAGCACTAGATCTCCAGATTACTTTTGTTTCTATCTATACTTATCAGAAGAAAAACAACAAAGGTGATTTTTACATGAATCCATTTCTGCTGACTTCAAATTGTGTGTACATGACTTGAATATTGCCCTTTCCTCCGAATATTGTCCCAACCTCTCTCCAATCTCATCCTGACACTCCAGAACATACACAAGCCACCCTTAATTCCACCCTACCCCACGCCCTGCCCTCTGTGGTTCTGTGCTGGAGCTTTGTGAATCCCTCAGTACAATTCAGATTTCTGCAGCAGTGAGAAGCCTCAGGAAATGCTTTATAGAAGGGTTTACAGACACTTACCGCCTACATTAACCTGCCTACAAATGTCACTCTAAACACCCAGATTCTTTATCACTTATACCTCTGTTCTCCAAAAAAACACTAAATAGTGAAAGTGTATTTAGGAGTGTCAACTTCATCTATAAAATACTCACACTGAAATGTCATTTGATGATTTAATAAAAATATGAAAGCACTTTACAGAACATTACATATTTTTTAAGAAGCTCAAATTTAAAACTAATCTAAACTCATCTATCAACTCATATCAATGCCAAATGTTAAGTGTCTCTACCCCCTTTCTCCTAATTTCCTCCTCTTGCATAAGTGTTCTAGTCCCAAGTACACAATAATGATTGCTTAATCCACAACTGCCACAGGAGGACCAGACATCACCTAGATACAGGAAATACTAAATAAGTCCTATGAGCTGCTCCCTTCAGACTTTCTGATTATTCATTCAACATTAATCATTCACTACCTTTTCTAGCCATTCTTCCTACAAGAATAACACTGACAGTAACAAGCATTCATTAAGTATCTACTTTACATATACATTCTTTTTCATAGTCACATAAGTATCTCACTTTAAAACAGGACACCTGTAGCTGAGAGGGGAGGAATCAAGATGCCCACAGCCTTGGAACTCAGCCTCTCACCTGTCTCACCAGCATCTACTGGACATCCCTGTGCCTGGAGTAAAACAAGGACACCACAATCTGTCTCCATCATGTCTTCCTTAACTAAAGTAAACTAATACATGGTATCAAGTGTACCTCCTTCCAACACCCCAAAACCCCCTCTCCAAGAGTAACCCTAAATTACATCCAATCATTTCACTATCCAGACTCAACAACTTTTCATGAATTAAGTCATTCAGTCAAATACTTGCCCACTGCAGGTACAAGAGTGAAGGTGACAGGTGAGATCCTGGCTCCCCCAAAGTTGAAATAATTAGGGGTGGAAGTGGTGTGAGAATTAAAGTTAGGTGGCATGATGTTGGCCTGGTGGACTGATATAGATGAAAGGCCGGAGAAGTGACAGTGAAACCTAGATCTCAGACACTGGAATAGCTCAAGGATAGCCAGTCAGGGAGACAGGGCTCTAGGTCCACAGCCAGTGCAACACATTCCAGGCAGGAATGAAGCCAGGGCCTGGAGAGTGAGGGGCAGAGGGCAATGGGAGTCAGACTATAAGGAAGCAGGTGGGCAATAGATGAGATGGGAAAGCATGGACCAATACATTTTTAAACATTACTCTGGCCTCAGGGAAGAAAAGGAATAATGGCGGTGGCTAAGGGAAAGCAACAGGAGAGTGAGCCCTGTTCCATAAGGAGGCCTCTGTGACAAACACAGTCCCAACAGGAAAATGAGCCAGCAGAGGATATGGCCAGCGGGGACGCCCGCTGCCCCCACCCTCCTTGGTCCCGCAGCATCAGGAGCATCCATACTCACTTGTCCATCACCCACCCGCAGAAACAGCCATCAGCAGCTAGCACTTGCCTTTTATCTCTGTGCCCAAATTACATAGCACACAGTACTAACGCTGCGCTTGAAGGAGCAAATGAACATAAAGGACAAGTATTAGGGACATTTTCAACCCTGGGATCAATCTTGTGAAACCAGTAAAAAGTCTTATTCCTCTGACAGTGTCAGGAACATGCCAGCTCTTGTGTATGCAGTGAGCACACTGGAGCAACAATTGGCAGCATAATTTCCCAAAGCTTTACTGCTCTGCACCCCAAGAAAGGCAATCTGACTCTGGGAGGAGACTATTACTTTACAACGTCTCAGGAGATAGTCACGCCAAGCAGGCTTCAGGCAAACAGCTTATAACTGTGTTTATCCCCCAATTTTAAATCGTTGAGTTAAATTTCGTCTTTTCGAAAAAAAAAAGAAGAAAAGAAATGAAAAGAAAAAGGACAACAAAAGAGGAGACACACATCCATGTACTCGTGAAAGCATCAGGTCTTCTATGTCCTCAATGCACTCTGCAAGGGGACACTTAGGGGACAGAGACTTTAGCATTACCACCATCTACAACCTTGGTCCTCATGGCCCTACTTTTCTCCTCCACTTCCATATGTCTCTGGGTTTCCTCTTGCTCCTCAGTACTTTCAGGGATTACTACTGAGTCTGCCCAGGAAGCTCGGCTACATTTATTTATATAACTGCAGAGATCTCCTCTCAAAAGAAGCCTATAAGGTTATCAGGTAAATATTTAAATCTCCTTGGTTATTGCATGGTCAGCATCCATCATAAAGGCCTTGATTTACTTACCTAAGTAGTGTGGTGGGTGAAATGCCACAGGCTTACTAGTCGCTGAATAATATCCAATTGCTCTCTTGAATCGAAAAACTTTGTCATCTGTTCTAGACTAAAATAAACATAGGAAACCTGTGTAAATTAGCATGCCATGGGTCATATGTTTCAACATATTTTTATAATTCAGTACATGTATAAAATATCTGTAGCCTTTCAAGCTAGATAAGAGTTTAGAATGACATTAAAATCTTCAAGGAAAATCCAGAGAGCAAGGCAGTTAACACAGAACCTGAAGTGGCAACCAGAGCCCTGGGTTCTGCAATATAGCCTTTAACTTCTTGGTCAAGTCCCTGGTGCTGCCAGAAGTTTTACTTTCCATGTCCAGCAAGTGGGCAGCTGTTTTAGATCTTCAGGGAGCAGACAGAAGTCACACAAACGTCAACTCTTTTACTAACCCCGATGCCTCAAATTCTTTACTTCCCACAAAAGGAAGACAAAACCCCTGACCATCACCTGAAGGGAAGGACAAATCAGAGATTCACAATTCCACTTGACCCACTTGATATGTCTGTCTTCTTAGTAGAAATCCTATCAAGTTATGATGAAGATGCTAGAAGCAACAGAGACCTCAACACTCATCTCCCTCCATCCCTCTCCAGTACAGGCTGGGAGGGCTGGCATGGAGGCTTGACAGCCGGGCAAGTGCTCCTGGACACACCAGTGTGTGCTTCTCAAGCCCCCTCCAAACCTGGCACACACCACTGTGCAAAGCACTGCCCCAGAGCCTGCATTTCTACCTGAGAATGCTGGAAAACATCTTTAGCTATGGCATCCAAGTCCGAGGTGTCCTGGATGTTGCGGACGTAGTCAGCCACAGCCTTGATCACCACGTCACATGGCGGCAAGACCAGCTGGTGGGCCCGGACCTGAGAAAACAAGCACAAATGTCAACGGTCTAATTCCAAACACAGGGTCCAGAAACCCCACGTGTTGTTTCCTGCCAAGGACCGAATTGTTCCCAATCTGTGAGCACTTGGCCCCAGGACTCTGGTACTCTGAGGTTCAAGCCCTGGATCTCCCTTACAATTATTGAAATACAGCCCAGTTAGGTTAACCAGCATCTGACAGCCTTTCATTACTTCTGAGACCAGGTCTGCGACCTGCTTATGATCAGTTCCAGGCTTGAGACCCTGGGCCCCGTAACAGCCAGCACACAGCCATGAGAACCCCTGGGCCACAGATGCTTCCTTTCTTTCAATGCCAGCCAGCAGGAGGCTGTGCCAGGCAACAGTCCCAACCGCCCAAGTCCACTGCAGAAAGACGAGGGAGGAAGCCAGTCCTGCTGAGGGACTGGCTGCTGAGGGACATGTCTGATAAAAGACTTTTGGAATAAAGTATAGGAGTATTTTACTGTCTCAGAATAGTTGATACCAGGAAAAGGCAAGTAAACAGATATATAATTATAGCTATGCCCTTGTGTTATTCTCAGGAACAAAGACGAATCAGGTACTAACTTTATTTCCAGAAATTAAAAAAAAAATTGAATGACAGCAGGAAATGATGTCTTTGTTTTCCATTTCATCATGAAGAGCATAAAGATAAAGAAGGGGCAAAGGATCTAAAGGCTTTGGGCCTAACCCAAGAGGAAGGAACATTTGAAAACTCTTTTGATGAGGCCAGAATTATCCTAATTGCAAAACCAGATAAGACACTACAAAGAAAGAGAATTACAAGCCAATATCCTTGATGATAAAATCCTCAACAAAATATTAGCAAATCACATCCAGCAATATATTAAAAAATTATACACCATGACCAAGTGGGATATATTCCTGGGATGCAAGGCTGGTACAATATTCACAAATCAATAAATGTGATACATCACATAAACAAACTGAAAGACAAAAATCACATGGTCATATTAATAGTTACAGAAAAGGCATTTGACAAAATCCAACACACATTTTTGATAAAAATTCTCAGCAAAGTGGGAATAGAGGAAGCATATCTCAACATGATAAAGGCCATATATGACAAACCTACAGTGAACATCCTACTCAATGGGCAAAAACTAAAACCATTTCCCCCAAGAATAGGAACAAGACAGGGATGTCCACTTTCACCAAACTTACTCAACATAGTACTGGAAGTCCTAGCCACAGCGATCAGACCAGAAGAAAAAACTACTAGATTTAATAAATGAATTTGGCAATGTAGCAGGACAAAATCAACACCCAAAAATTGATGGCTTTTTTATACACCAATTAGAGGTCTGGTGCTCAGCTTAGTGCACCGGTGGAGTCCCTCAGCCTGGCCTGCAGGGATCGGCCCAAACCGGCTCTCCAACATCCCCGGAAGGGTCCTGGATTGCGAGAGGGCAATTCTCATGTGACGCGCCCCAGAATCGGGCTCCCTCCTCTGTGGTTCCAGGTGCGTCACCCGAGAACCGCAGCTGCCAAGTCACCACAGCAAAAAGAGAGACCTCTGTATTGGAGAACATATTTGGAAATGATACATCTGATAAAGGGTTAATATCCAAAAAATATAAGGAACTCATACAACTTAACAAAAGGAAGACAAACAATCCAACTAAAAAATGGGCAAAGGACCTAACTAGACACATCTCCAAAGAGGACATACAGAAGGACAAGAGACATATGAAAAAATGCTCAAAGTCACTAATCTTCCAAGAGACGCAAATCAAAATGACAATGAGGTACCATCTCACACCTGTCAGAATGGCTACCATCAACAAATCAACAAATGACAAGTGCTGGTGAGGATGTGGAAAAAAGGGAACCCTAGGACACGGTTGGTAGGAAAGCAGACTGTTGCAACCATTATGGAAAAACAGTATGGAGTTTCCTCAAAAAATTAAATATGGATCTGCCATTTGACCCAGTGATCCCACTTCTAGGAATATATCCTAAGAAACCCAAAGCACCAATCAGAAAGAATGTATGCAGCCCTATGTTCATAGCAGGGCAATTTACAATAGCTAAGATCTGGAAACAGCCCAAGTGCCCATCAGTAGATGAGTGGATAAAAAAAGCTGTGGTACATTTATGCCGCAGTAAAAAAGAAGAATCTCTTACCCTTTGAGACAGCATGGAGGGACCCGGATAGTATCACGCTAAGTGAAATAAGTGAGTCAGAGAAAGACAAGTATCACATGATCGCACTTATATGTGGAATCTAAGTAACAAAATAAACTGATGAACAGAGTGGATCCAGAGACATGGAAGCATGGAACAGAGTGGAGAATCTCAGAGGAAAGGTGGGAGGTAATTACCAAAGACCTTGAATACATACGTGCATAACCCATGGACACAGACAGTAGGGTGCTGACGGCCTGGGGTGGGGGAAGGGGAACAGGGGTGGGCGGGAGAGGATCAAGGAGAGGAAAAAGGGAGACATATGTAATAATTTCAACAATAAAGAATTATTTTTAAAAAATTATAGGACATATCATAACAAAGAAATAAATACATAAAATAAAGGCTTTGCATCTCTAGAGCTGTGCACTCCTGCCACTCCCGTGTGAATGTGGTGTGTTCCATGACAGCCAGCTAACCTCACGCCCAGCCTGTTACCCTGAATTGCTCAGATGGGCTCAACGGCATCACAGAGTCCTGAGGACTCCACCCATGCTGCTTGTTTTGACAGTGGAAGAAGGGCCACAGTGTGCGGTGGCCTCTGGAAGCCAGAAAAAGCAGGAAACACTCTCCCTGAGCCTCCAAGGGAATGTGGCCACCGACACCTTGATTTTAGCTCAGTGAGACCCGTTTTGGACTTGTGACTTGTATGGTAGAACTGTGACCTATGGCAATTTGGGTTGTTTTAAGACACTAAAAGGAAAAGGGAGGGGGGGAAAAATTAGAAAAACTCAGCCTAATCAAATGGAATAGAAGAAACCTCTAGGAAAATACACATTTACACTTTTAAGTTATTATTATGCAAATTTTCAGATGCACAGAGTACATTCAATTTCCTTTTCTTAAAAAGCAGTAATTCCAAATGGAAACAATGTTTCACATGTTGGAGCAGCTGCTCTACTCTCTCAGGAAGGCAAACCCCACAGAATGGACTGCAGAGGACCACTGTCATGCCTGTAGGCCAGAAGCCTTCCCAGAAACCCAAGTCCTCCCATGTCAAGGAGAAAAACCTCTGGCACAGACCTGCCCCACGGTGAGGATGTCCCTGGAACAGCGCATTCCAGCCAGTCTGGAAGGCATGAAGTTCTAACTGCTCCCACCTTCAGAGTATTTAACAATTCAGCAGCAGGGCAGGTAGGAGAGCCTGGTGGCAGCCCCAGGAGTGGGGAGTCAGGACGGAAACCCTGAGTGGCCTACACTCTGCAGAACTCGGCATTTTCCCCTCAGTGAGTGCACACCATGGGGACAGAGACAGGGACAGGGATGCCTGACCTCTCTGACTGCACGGGGGCTAAGTGTCCTTGCATGCCTGGTGGCTCTGAAAGCCTAGGATCACCTAATCATGCTGTAGATGATACTGGAATGGCTGGTCATTCTAGAAGGGTTTTATATACAGAACAAAAACATGACAATTAACATGGTAACAACAGAATCTGCTAGATATAAAAAGGCCAAAATATGAAAAGGCCTTCCTCTGGTGGGGGAGCTATTGAGGTGACGCAAGCTGACTCTCCTAGGGGTGTTCTGACACCAGGACACCATGGACTCATGGGCAGCCCCTCGCTGTCCCACCGACCTCAAATGAAAATGACAGGGTTGCTTTTGTTCCTGCAGATATCCTTGTCTTCGCTATCCACATCCCATAACACTGTGGCTAAAAGATCCTTGAGGTGAACAGATCCTATAATTAAAGAGCCCCCAAATCCTCCTGAGTGTTTAAGACCACCGTAAACCTGCGTCCTTTACAATGTCCCCATGGCCCAGACTCTTCCCTCATGCCCACTTACCCCTCACCCTTCCTGCTTCATCCTAACATAGCCTTCCAAATCTGACTCAGGGTGAGCTCCAGTATTCCCTGTACTCAGGGCAGACCCTGATGGTGATAACATAGTACCCCCCCCGCCCCCCACCTCAATCGGCCCCAGGAAAGCGGAAGTGACAGCATGCAGTACCAAGGCAGGCCTGGAAGGCTTCACTGCACACGAGACGCTTTAGCTTAGAAGAAAGAGCACATGAGATGACTTCTAAAATTCAGATGGGACTAAGCTTTACCACGACTGACCATAGAATTCCATTTAGTAGTAAGATTCCTGGTACATTTTAATATGGATATGTTTACAAACACCCAATTTATTAAAATTTTGACACTCCTGCGAACTTTTAATTTGTATTTTCTTTAAACACCATGCGATGGTGTGTGTGAGGGAAATCACGAATTCCTGTTAGAAAACCGAGTGTCATCAGAACCAACTCAGTGGAGAAAGAAAAAACCCTTAAAATCCTGACCACCTTAAACATGTCTCTCTATATCCATCTACACACACACACACACACACACACACACACACACCCTATACGTCAGGGTAGTCATCTACACACTTTTGACTGGAAATAACCACATTGAGACATGTTGACCCACAAAAAGGGCTATCACCTTAAGTTGCTAAATCTTCCCAGACACTGGAGAATAGCATCGCCTTATCCCGTTATAGCAGTAACTGCACATGAGAGTTACTGTAATCTGTCCTTGTCTATTCATAAAAACAAAATTAACACACCAAATAAATGAAGTGCTGGCTGCTTCGAGACAGGCTTCAAAATATTTTAATGGGAGTCCCATTTCTTCTCCCTTTTTCTTTTTTTTTTTTGAGCAGTATTGAGGTTTTTTATTTTAGCTCAGAAGTTTATATTGCTACATACCTAAATTAAAGTTGAAGACATGTACTTTCTATCTCCAAGGATACACAGTAAATTCTGTTTAATTAAGAAGCAAATGTTTATGATCTAATGGTCTTTTATGATACTTTGTAGCAATTTCAGTAATTGTTAGTCACTTGTTTTACAAGTAAAGAAATAACATTTTGGAGCTGGAAAAAAATCTCCCAGACACTTGTATAAATTAACCCCTTAGCTTCCAGGCAGGATAATTAAATAATAAATAGATAACATCTGTGTGGAAATTTATGATAACTGCCTCCACACAAAATATCCTCTCATGTGACACATTTTCACTTTTGGTATCACCTTTCCCCCAATATCCTATTTCCTGCTGAAAAAGGTGTACTGCTGTCTCCCATGGAACAGGTGGGAAAGATGTGGAAGGCACTTAATGAGGGCAGGCCCACCTGGGGCGTGGCCTCCGCCGGCCTTACCTCTGTCAGAATCCCTGAGCCAGCAGGCCACACTGTGCCATCCACGACAATCCCGTTCCTTCTGCCGATCTTGACAGCCTCTACTTTGTATTTAGTTCTGAACCCCCCAGGAGACCCAAGACTGGGTTAGAGCAGAGGCCCAGGGCATGTGTGCCTGCAATCACCTGGCCAGCCACCCTCCCAAGCCTGCCCAGAGACCTGCCACACTTCTGCCCTAGCCAAACAATGTGGGCCTCGCATGTCTCCCAGCAGCGGGACACCAGGGATAACCCCTGAACAAGTGGCTGGCACGGCCACATGTCCACAGTGCCAGTGCTGGTGGAAATAACCCCGAGCTGTATGCGCACAGGCTGGCCCACACTGCAGGAACGCCACGAGAATCCTTAGAAGTCCCACCAACATGCCATGGCAGTCTTCCCTGCAGCCAGTGCCAGCCACCACAGACAGAGATAACCTCTGCTTCTTTAGAGTCCCTCCCTGATTTCCACCCATTACTTTAGCAATTCAAGGGGTGAACACGGGAGCTAATAAACATCTACATTATAGGAATGTCTGAAACTGAATTAATTTAAATAGTACAAAGAAGTTACCATATTATATTTCAATCAAATTACACCCACCATGTCACAGTGGCAAAGGATTCAATTAAAACCCCAGGTTCTCTTTCAGGTGATATGTTGATTAAAAACTCTCCTAAGCTGTTAAAAATGTATCACTAGAAAGGATAATTTGACAGGTTCATAACTTTTGTACAATGGAGATGAAATGTCTCTGATAAAATGGCAGGTCCCCATCAGCGGTGAGAGGCTCACTTCCCCAGTAAATGCCAGGTCTGCACATCTATAGCAAGAGCTGGCTCACAGAAAGAAAAACAGTCAACAGACTTGGTGTATTATAGACTTTGGGGAAAATCCAGCGACTCCATTTCTGTTATATCGTGCATATTGTATACAGACAGGATGACCTGTGAAATTTTGTTTTAATTAGTCATTTCTTTGATGAGGTTATTTTATAGAGCCTGTTCCAATTCTAAGAGGTTTCAAAACCCCAGAACATTTTTCTGTTGTTGTTTTAAGACCAAAAAAAAAGGAGTATTTTTGCCCTGACCTGCTGAGCTTCATTCCATGCACGAGAGGTCCCAGGTTTGATTCCTGGCCAGGGCACATACCAGCAGGGAGCGTGCAGGAAGCAATTGATCTATATTTCTCTCTCATCCATGTTTCTCTTTCTCTCTGTCCCTCTCCCTTTCTCTCTCTAAAATCAATAAAAATGATTTTTTTAAAAGGCGTATTTTAAAAATCTATATGTGCTATAATTTTGTGTTGGAAAATAGTTTTCCTCTCGTTTAAAGAATACATTCTTGTTCCAAAATTTGTTTTAACTTGTTCTTTTGTCCTTTAACCCTTACACCTGTGTGCTGACAGGAGTCTGAGCCTGTCTGCACCGTCCCACGCCTGTCACTCTGTGAACAGAGGCCAGAAAGCACATCTGGTATTGCATCTTTAGGAAAAGAAGGTCAGCCATCAGCTTTGCCACATGATTTCAATGAACACCAGTTTCTTAATACAAAAGTTAGCTATCGCTCCACATACACCCAGGAAACAATTTAATAAGACCCAGTTTAAACTCTGTTGTAGATGTGTGCACACATATAATTCAATGGCAGGATAAACAGTGCTTGTAGCCTGGGAAAAGGTATAAAGTTTTACTTATTTCTCAAATAATCCTCAACCTATGAATTTTATCTCTACAGAATATAAAATTTTCGGCAACTAAGATATTTTTCCCCCTTTATATTGGCCGAAATATAAAATCCTTGAAAATTCAGGAAACTAAAGGCCTGAAAAAAGCTGCCCCGCTGCTCACCAGATGTGTGCAAGAGCTGATGTAGGGAGGAGGTAACTTCAGAGATGATGAAGCATTTCCCCCCAATCTGCATAAGTGAATAAGCGATCCGACTTTAGTAAAAGTATTTATAAAGTACATTTTAAAAGTTGTCCAGAACTCATGCTGGAGTAGGAAACATGGGTGCATTTGAATGGACT